TCTTCAAGTCCCAGAATTCTTCCTCTCGCTCTTCAAGTCCCAGAATTCTTCCTCTCGCTCTTCATCTTGATGATGTGCGGACGAGCAGGGGGGAGGGAGCTGGAACTGGTTCTAAACGGCACTGTAGATTTGTGGAACCTCTTCTATAGAAGAGGTTAGAACTGGCAGGAACCCACCCCTGGTTGGAAGTGACTATTATGGACTGCAAAAATAACAAACAAAAAAGTCCCAGACTGAACCTCACCAAAAATATCACTTGAAGCCAAGATCAACAAACAGAGACCATCATAATTTGGTCATGAGAGCTGACTCACTCAAAATGTTGGTTACGCTGGGAGTGATCAGCAATAAAAGGAGAGTACTATCAAAATTTATCTGCCAAGGTACCTCTTCCAAACAATTCCAATAAAGCTGGAAAAGAAATATTTCGAGGAATTAGAGTACTAACAAAATTTATCTGGCAAGGTAACAAAGCAAGAATAAGTCTTGTTCCAAGACTCTAATAATAGAGGAGGCTTTGGGTTGGCAGACTGGGACTTATATTATCAGGCATCTGCACTACCAGGCTAAAAAAATGGATAACTTCAAAAAATAGACAATTATTAACTTTGGGAAGGACATGATTTGCAACTGGGATGGCACGCCTTTCTATGGTATGGGTAAAATAAAATACACAAATATTTCCAAGGACACTATATTAGAAATGCTCTGTTTTTAGTATGGGCAAAAATTATTAAGGGATAGATTTAGTATGGTGGCCGCATATACAAATACAATTAAGATGTGAAAAAGATGCCAAAACATATGATTTTTATAAAGAACCAAGAGAATTGGACCAGATCCTAACAGGAACTGATGAGAAACTAATTTAAAAAATTTACAACTATCTACTGAATATTAGAATGGAAGAAGAGCAAGTAAAGGAAACAATGATAGTGCGAGCTAGAAACTTTGGTTATTCTATAGAATTGGAGAAATGCCAAAAGCTGTCGGATAGAAATTATAAATTAACAATGTCTACTGCATATAAAGAAAATATATGCAAAATGTTTTACATTTTGTGGCCCTTCTTCCCACCAGCAAGATTAGCTAAGATGTTTAAAGATATGTCTGCTAAATGTTGGAAGTGTAATCAGATTCTGGGTTCATACTACCATATGTGGTGGGCATGTATCTTTTCCCAAAAATATATTGGGAAAAGATACATAATTGGATAGAAAAATGATAAAGGAACATATAGATTGAAAACCAGAAATATTTGTGTTGGGTATCACACCAGAAAAATATAATAAGGGACTCTGTATCTAATTTTTTTCTCTTTTTTTGTAAGACGCCCGGAGTCCTTCAGGATTGGGCGGCATATAAATTTTATAAATAAATAAAATAAATAAATAAATAAATAAATAAATAAATAAATAAATAAATAAATAAATAAATAAA